CTGTCCTATGAATCCTTTCAGTGAATAGCATGGCCCATGTAAAATAGCACAGAATCCTTAGTTTCCTCCCACACAGACACCTTATAGATTCTAAAACTTGAAGTAATTGCTTTCTCTAAATTCTGCTTGGATACTTTAGAATATTTTTGTTTCATTTTGTTTTAAATTGGAGATTTAGAATTTAAAATTACACAGTGACCTGTTAAAGTAATAGTTCAGATGCTTATGATCCCCAGAGTCTGAACTGTGTTAGGCCATATGTTAAGCATATGAACCAAGAAATGTGATGGTAATTTAAGCACAATGAACCTGAGGCATAACACCATAATTTTCTCAAGTAATTCTCATCCATCTTTGCATTCATTGAACAAAATGAAAATTCATTACAGCGTGTAGAAAAGGGACAATAGTAAGGTCTTGTATTATATGAGAAAACTTGTAATACTCTATTATTCTTTGGAAGGATGCAGATGTAAAACAGCATACAATACTGAAGGTGTGCTAAGGAGAGTGAGTTTTTAATACTCCGTGCAGCACTGTTGATCCTTAAGACATTTGAATTTAGTTTGCTAGCTTTTAAGACCACTATGAGCCTGAGCAATCTGAAATATACAATGGTGTGTTTTCTTTCTCCTTTGGCTTTTCCTTCAATCTCTGAGATTTAAACAAACTCCATAAAGCCTGAAAGATCACTATAGCAAAACAGCTCCTTCAGTAACTACTGAGGAGGCCAAGACAGCCATCTAAGACAGAAATGGCTTACTTTTGGTCAGATAATGTTAAAGGAAACATATCCTACCAGAGCATGGTCACTTACTCCCATGTCAAGCCACATCCTCCAAGTGAAATATTACCTTGCCTTAGCAGTGGAGTAAATGGCCACAGGGGTTGTGTCCTGTGGGCTATGGTTCTGCTCTTTAATAGAAAAGTTAATGGGATTTTCTCTTCTCATGTCACAGCTGGTGATGAAAGCGTCCAAGTGGGTGCCCACCGACAGTTCCTAACGCGCTCCACGTGCAAGTTAAACATGGTCACTGGCAAACGGTACCTCCTCATGGGGAAAGATGGGCAAACGGTAGATTGCAACAACAAGTAAGTGCAATGGTTTCTGAGCAGCAGTGGCTGCTCTAGTGGACCATGAATCCAGAGGTTACTCAAACTATTAGAATACCTCCAGAAAGCAAAAGGAGGGCCAAATTTCTTAGGGACTGATTCTGCTGGCATTACTAAAATGTGAAGAGTAACTTAACTAACAGTAGGCAAAAGGCAAGCTGTGGGGAAGAGCTGAGCCACCCAAATCCATTGGCTTATCTATCCATGCAGAGCCTGGTTCCCACACTTTTCAGAATCAAAATCTGGCCCTCACTCCACTGGGTTAAAAACTCACAGCTAGAAAAGAAGAATGAGAAACACTCCACAGTTCCATCTACTGCAAAAGCCTTACACAACTCCTGGGTTTGCAAAATAAATGGGTGGGACTGTGGCTAAAAGTAGCTCTCAAAGCTTCTGTTACTTCATGCATGCAAATACATCATTCTTCTCATTCCTCATAGGGAATTTATCTTCTCATTTCTCAAGGGAATTATCTGGGGAGGAATTCAGTCTGACTATTAAATATTTAGTGAGGAAGCCATCTTAAAGGTTTAATTTTGCTGTGCAGAACTGGAGAAAGGTAGTACCTTTGAAAGCTTGTAGGAGGGAGACCTTCTCAAACGGGTTGTAAACACCATTTCCTAAAGCTTTAAAAGGTCCCCTCTCTCCATCTCTATAAGACACCAATGTGAGTGCTTAAGTCAGGGCCCCCTCTACAACAGATGCCTGCTAAAGATCAAAGACTCCAAGCAGAGTTGTAACCTCTAAAGTCTTCTCCAGCCCAGTTGTAAAATGCCAGAAGCTGCACAGTCCCTCACCACCGAAAATTAGGAAACATTTTGAGATACTCTGTTGAATCTAAACGCTCCTTCACTGTGTCTCATTGGTGTTCACTGGGGCTTTTTGTGCCCCTCCAGAAAACTCAAATAAAAACTTAGCCCAAGCTTACGTGGTGAGGTTTGTCCCAGCAAGTTTCAGGCAAGTTTCTTGGCTAGTATCATTCCTCCTAATTTCAGAGATGCCTGGGTGGAGGGATGCAGCCCCACGAGGTTTACACTTCCCTGTTGCTGCAGGTCAGCAGTAGTGACTCATGTCCTTTACCCGTTCCACTTGCTCTCAGGATGCAGTACTTCCTTGATGCACAAGCCTGGGTAGAGAAAATTCCAGACGACAGTGAGTGCCGCACCACCCTGCACCGGCAAGCCTGTGCTCACCTGCAGGACTTCGTGAACATGCCTGACAGCCTGTGCCACTTCTGAATATCCTACCTGTGTGACTGCAACTCAGCTCCTTCCTGAATTTTTCTTGCAAAGTCTGTACATCACAGTGGCACCTGAAACATTGCAGAGCTGCTTCTCTTGCTATCTGTTTTGCTGATTGGAGTATCTTCTTTTAGGTATATGTATGTATGTGTGTGGGGGGTAATATAACAAAAATTGCAGTTACTCTACTAGTTATTGTGTTTATTGTCCCTGACACTGATGAAGAGAGATCAAGAATTTGTCTCCCTGATCAATTACACAACAATGCAATTATCCTGCATGGGATCAAATGAAAAAGTACTGTGCTTGCATAGCTGATTAATTGCTGCAGTCATTGTCACTAAACTTTAAAGAGGCCAAGAAATTTGCAGGGGTCAGAAAGAAGACTGGGCATTCATGGGCTTACCAAGTACAGCCTTTGTTACTCTACTGCTAAAAGAAAAGAAATACTACCACTCAGACTTCAGTACTTCAGTGAATTTCTGATTTTATGTGTGAGTTCTCATGTAGGGGAAAAAATGACCCTGGCTCATACACAGCAGGATTCCCATACACACTTCTGAAGAGGGAAGTGGGACTGGCCCAGCATCAAGGATGTGCAACAGAATTGGATGTGTCCTGTGCCTGACACAAGATTCCTGCACAGGCTAGTTAGTGCTGGTAGCTCACTGAGGGCACAGAACTGCTTTTTTAATTGCACTTTGTAGTCATGTGTCTTCAAGATTTTCTTTTTTTACAGTTTAATTAATTTGCATCACTTAAAAAAAAAATTACACAACCTGTGGTTGCATTTCTCTAAAGCATTGCTGCTTCTCTGGCTATGCAAATGGTTCTGTAGTGAAGATGCAATATTTGTCAGAGAAAGGTGGAGGTTTTGCTGCCACCGTTATAAAGGCTTCCACAAATGGAAAACTAAATTGACAATAAAAAATAACCCCAAACTCAAAACCTCGCTTTTCTTAGGACAAGAAAAAGTCTGGAGAAAATGTTTTGATAACACTGATAAGTAGGTGACTTGCAAATAAAGGTTTTACTTCTTTAGTTTGCCAGAGAATGACATTTGGCGGTTTGTCTGAAGCAGAAAAAAGGTGCATTAAAAAGCTGTTTGCTGAACAGGTCACCATCCTCAGATGCTCACACCACTGTCTTTGTGCCAGCAGCTACTGAGTGCAAAAATTTGCCACCTGGACTGCTTGTGTTACATTGCACTAAAAGCAACAATATGATAATTAGTAGGTGAATGTTGATCTGGTTAATCTGGAGTCAAATAACCCTACTGGATAGGAGGGGCAGCGCTGAGCCTTGTGTGGAGAAGGCCCTACACAGCAGCAGCACCTACCAGAACACCTACTCCACAAGAGCCTTCAGAGCCATAGCAGACAGCCCATCCCTGTGTGCCAGCAATGTGAACTGCCCAGCTCTAGTTGAAGGCTGTAAACTCGAGTATAATGGCAGCTGAACTCAGGTATCAGCCATGCCCCCCACTCAGCTGCCAGGCATTGCATGGGTGGAGGGTGGGGAAGGCTATTTTATAAAAACCTGCACTACTGCTTCATGTCTTTGCATGGGAGGATAAGAAAACTCCTGAAAGCCTGAAAAAGACAGACACTTAAATTAACACAGGACAATTTCTTTTCCTCAAGGTTTGCCCCAGCTTTCAGATTTAAGAAATGAGACTGTAATGCATGGGCATATATTCTCTTCCTTTTATTACTGGGTTTATAGAACTGTCAGTGCTATGGCAAAATCCAGCTGAGGTCAGTAAAGCAAGTACTAATTTTTACTCCTATAAGATAAAGAATAGGCTGTTCCACTGACATACCAATTATCCACTAATTCTGCTAATAGTTATGAAAGAATACCTCTAAGGTTAGAGGCCAAATCCTTCTTTCCAATCCACAGGACTTGAGTTAAATACCAGCATCTGACCCTTTTGCTGTGTGGAGTACATCAAGAGCTCAAAGGTTCTTGCTTAGCAGACAGTTCACCAAATAATTGCTACACTCAAGACTCTGTAAAATGTGGTGAAAGCATCATTAAAATTTCATATTAGGTTTAACATGCATTTTACATATTTTATTGCATTTTACATATTTTCTTCCATTTCACTTGAAGATGAGTCTAAGCTGAAATTGCTTAGTGCCTGAACTCTGCATATGCAGCCTTCTAATGTGGGAGCTGTGTGGTCCTTAAACTGTTTTTACTCTTATTTTTGGTACAGAAGACACGAGTATGCTTCTACTTTAATTCTGGTAGCCTGGGACCCTTGCTTCCTGGGAAACCCTTTAAACCTCTGCGCAAGGAGCTAGCGTAGAACAGTCTCTATCCCCCTCTCTTTTTCTGCCCCAAACTTTCAAGTATATTTATAGGGAGAGGGAAGACAATGGTGGAATTATTCTCTGCTGCCAAAGTCGTTAACGTTTGAAGGTAGCGCAGCTGAAGACCTGCTGGAGACTCAGCCAGCACCATGGAGGCCCGCTTGAGGGCTTTAGAAGCATTCATTTCTCCATCTGCTGCCACAACCTGCAAAGTAAGATAAAAGGAAATGGCAAGTGATGCTGCTCATAGTGGGGAAAATCCACGTTTTCAATTAGGAAGAAACAAACAGGCACTTGGATTCCTGGGACAAGGATATGGGAGCTTAGGGGTAGACATTGCTGTGGGTCTCACCTTAGCTTTTGCCTCTCGAGCAGCCTCTGCTTCAGCTGCCATTGCCGCCTGCATGGCCACAGGAATCCTGACGTCTTTGATCTCCACTTGCACCACTTTGATTCCCCACTGTTCTGTGGCACTGTCAAGGACAGCCTTAGGGACAAACACACAACACACCACGAAGAGCACAGTGATTGCAGAGAGAAAGCCACACAATGTAATCTGCCACTTGGACAGAAGGAAAGGCAGCTTGCAAACCTGCACGACAGAAAGATGGAGCCCTTCAGGGGCACTAACGTTCAATGCAGTGTGTGTACGGTGGGTACTGCAACCTTATGAGATTTGCTGATCAACACCAGTGTTTCCTGTGTGGCTTCTCTATGACCGTCTAAATTATGATCCCCATCCTTTCTCTAGGTGGGTACTTAGCAAACTTCTCCCTCTTACAAAGTAATACTACAGCAACTTCCTAAAACACCACAATGCTGTAAAAGGACCCTGTGGGTGAAACGGACAGCACAGCCCTGCAGCACTGGCACGCCCTTCTGTGTTCAGGCTCCTGGGCGCTGCTGCAATCCACGTCACCATTGTGACCCTGGCTCTGCCCATGGCCACTCTCCTAGCTGGAAAGGGGCTCAATCTCTCTTTGATTTGACTATGCCTCATTTCTGACTGAAAAGTGTAAATCAGGTGTTGGATTTCTTCTCCTTGGCTGCCAAAACATAAAACCAAAACAGATGGCGTTTTAAAGCATAAAACAATTTTGTTCTGTACTCTTAGTTGTTATGACAGGAGATACAAGCCTTGCCTTGATTAAACCTCAATCAAGGGTCTGCTCAAGATAGAGCTTCCCACAAGCGCCGACTTCTTTCTCACTTGCAGCAGTCTCTGTGCAAAGACTAAACTGATTTATTCAAGTCACTGGGTAATTTTGAACCTTCATTGGTTTTTTGACAGGAAATAACTCTTCTACAAGAACCTGGGGAAGTACCTTTGGAATAACTCTTTCTGACTCTTAAGCAATGAGATGTATAATTAAAGAAAACATAAATTTTGTTATCATTGTTGAAGAAAGAGAGAGAGATTATTTCTGATTTTCTACTCCCCAGAACACATCTCCATGCTTGTCAGTGAATTTTGAGAGCCAGATTTACCTGGATACTGCGTACAATCTCCTCACGACCTGTCAGGAGCTGAGCCAACGTCTGTGTACCCAGAATGTTTCTCAGGGTTGTCTGTGCCAAGAGGAAGGTAGCTGAGTGGACATCAGTGATGTTAGCAACGGCACTGACAGCACTGTGGATCCTGTAGTACACCACCCCGTCGACTTGGGTAGTAATGGCATCTTTCATGAGAATCTGTGTTTGAGAAATGTACAGAATTAGAGAAGGATCCAATAACACATCATTTGTCAAGAAAATGGAATAATTTTTTATCCCCTTAGTGAGGAAAAGGCCCTGATAATTCAAGGAAACCAAGAATTTATTTGGGGTTCTTTGTCATTCCCCTGAGAATTAAAGGAATCTATCCAGCATGACCAAAGTTTTAAATGGGTCAAAATGTTGTACATATAGCCTTTAAACAACAGTTTCTATAATAAGTGAATGTCATAATTTGAATTAATTTCTTCTGCAATAATAAATTATGGTTATCCTCTTCCTTTCTTGTAGAAAGGGCCATTAATGATTTTATACATAGCATGTAGTTTGGAAGAACTGTACTACTTCCCCTAAATAATGTATTTGTAAGAAACATCAGAAAATTAAAACAAAAATGCAAAGCAAAGTGCAAGACATTGGGAGAACCACCCCTGAAAAATATTCAAGTATTCATAGAGTTGTGTCATCCTTTGCCAGATAAGTCCCCTGTGCCTCAGCGGGTAGCTGGCCTCAGTGGAGCATGGATGATGCTCCACTACCTCTTCCCTCCTCAGCATCTTTTGCCTGCAAGTAAATTCCAGTTCAGCCAGACCCAGTACAGCCTTGTACAGCACAAGTACTGCAACCATCTTCCTTCTAGCCTCCCATTTCAGGGGAGACATTTTTCATTCCACCACATGCATCCATTCCTGCAACCTGTGCTCTGAGCAAAGGCTCTTTGTGATTACAGAAAGATAACGGTCCAAGAAACACCTCCTGGGGAAGATAATGGGCAATCCTGGGGCCAAAGGGGTCCTGGGACCATCTCTTTCCCCTCTGCCCTTTGTGTAAGGGAGGGGACAGCAGTGCCAACTCCATGAGCAGAAGCATTATACTGCAGCGGGGACAGGGACACACGGAGCAAAAGCTTTATCAGGATGACGGGAATTGCTCAGCAACTGATTCTTCAGATTAAATTATTCAATCAATGTTTGTCAGCAGAACGCCTAAAGATATGCCACTACATTTCTGCTTGAATGGGAGTTTTGTGGACGTCTGCTAATTCCTGTTAATTTAAGGAGATTTGTTACCCATACATAATTTGCCTTTTAAGAAAGAGTGGGCATAACTTCAAGCCGCAACTACATCAGTGGAAGCTTTTTTGAGTGGCAAGCTGTAAGATCCAGTTTTATTTAGACATTCATTTCTGGATATCTTACACTAGTCTATTGATTCATTTCCATGTGTATATACCATTGGGAATTTTTTAGCCTCTCTCTCTGTCTTCCATTTGGAGTTTTACCCCCCTGCCCCTTATCATTTATCTCACAGTTCTGAACATCAGCAAGAGGAGTTTGTTTGGCCTGCAACAATGCATGTGAAGGTTTTCCTAAGTAAAGCAGTTTGAAAGTCAGAATAGACAGCAAATAAGCTAAATTTTATATGGTAGTTCACAGCTGCAAGATTATAAAACACCTGCATTATTTTTGATTGTGAATCAACTCTTATCTCTTATTTCCATCTTAGATGGCTGCTAGAAAATAGTTACCTCTTGTGGAGGAATGGTACAGGTAACTGTTCTAAGATCAACCTTGACAAACGTATCTGTACATGGAAGTATGAAGATCAAACCTAAAAAAATAAAAATAATTAGATTAAATGCTTCTGAAAGCTACGTCTAGTGCCAGGTAACCTGTATAGAGCAAACAGATGAAAATATCCTCAGGGCAGGGAATGAGCCCACCTTATTACTATAGCTGTCCTTTCTGGTACAGGAGGTGATGACAGTGATATTTTGCACTTTCAAATAAGAGAGAGAAATCCAGATATATGAAAATAATATGAATTTATTATAACTTAATGACCTAGGGCTCTGGACTAGGAATGAGCAGACTGCAGTTCTGGTCTCAAATCTGTCATGAGACTTGGCAAAAATTCCTTCCATGGCTTTGTTTAGTTTCCCCTCCTTGGATCATAAGCCATTTATGGTACAGTATGTGTGTCCCCAGGAAAGACATCTCCCAGGTTGCAATTCCTGCACCACCTGTAGGTTCCCAAATGAGGAACATGGTCCCAAGATCTGACCTGTCCTGTGAAGGAGTCCCCACTCTCCCTTCGCTGGAGAGGGAGACTTGACATAACTATTCTTCTAATCTCAACACCTTGCTTAGGTGCCCATAGCCAAGCAAGAGAGGTCTGAACTTGCTCTAGCTGCTCTTTGGACCACTATTCAAGAGGAAGGACAGAACATGAAAAGGATTTTTTTTCCTCTCATTTTAACTTCCAGTTTGCCCAGTTCCATTGCACAGAGGTGGTAACTGCACCAATGTAAATACCTCATGTTGTTGGGTTTGGTTTGTATTTGTGATTTGTAACCTGATCCTAGGTGACTGTAACAAACTCTGTATAGCTGCACAGTGTCCCTGCCCTGTCCTATTTACCTTTTTCAGAGCAGAAGACAGCTACAGAGCTGGCAGCAACAAGCAGTGTTGGAAGTGAGGTACAGGGAGGGTGGTCACAGTCACTCAAAACAGCCTGGCAGACCTGAAGGCTGCATTTAAACCTCTCTGGTCCTCCATCAGTGTCTAACGGCATGAGCTCAACCTTCTGTTGTCCAACCTACTCAAGAGCAAAGCCGTACCTGGTATCAAGGTCATCAACCTTCTATGTCGTGCTGTGACAGGGGAGTGGCTTTTTCTTCTCTTCAGAAAAACAAACAGCCTGCAGGTAAAGGAACTGCAGCAGAGAGGACCTTCTCATACCCCCCATGCCAGGAAGAAGGATTTCATGGACCTCTGCAATTCTCTATGTGGTTAGAGTGCATCGTATTAAAATAAAAACAGTGCATCTTAATGGAATAAAACTGCATGCATTCACCTGGTCCCCTTGCTTTCTTAGACAGTATACGGCCCAGCCGAAATACAACAGCACGTTCATATTCTCTGATAACCTAGGAAAATATTTTAAATTTAGAATTTTACAACTAACTCTATTCCCATATTCTGGTCTGAATTTTAATCTTTGGCATCCATATTATATGTGAAAAAAAAAGTACAAATAATATAGGAACCACAAAAGCTGCAAATCACCAGGCATCTTATTCCTTCTCCTCACCTCATCCTTTGCTGGAAAAACTTTGCTGTCTCTGCAAACAGGTTACAAACCAGATCAAATATGAAAGAACTGCCACTGATCTAATGAGGCTACCCACAACTCCCTCAAAATCAGTGCTAACTCAGAGCTGTGGCAAAGTATATCTCACCTCAGATGACCTAGCTAACTACTTTGGTTAGTGTATCATCAGAGCAACTCAGGGCCTGGTATCCAGGGCAATCACCCTGGTAACTCACCCCTAAAAATTGCTTTAAATTAACCACATTATACTCATGTATTGAAAGGGCATTTTGTGGGTTTGGGTTATATAGTCACTCAATGCAGGGATCCATGTTCCCATGTACTTATGTTAATCACTATTGCTGTCAGTATGAAATAAGAGTTCTTCAGAAAAGTTTGTAGATTTATTCTCCCAGTGTTGTAATGCAGGGAAGTTTAACTGGTGATGGAAGTTGAGAATGGAAGAAACTAAATAATTTGCGGAGATATAGAAAGTCAGTGAAGGAACATGGATCTTGGTCCCAGACCACATCTTCACTACAAGCCCTTATGACTTCCTAAAAGTGAATGTGAAGTGTCATAACAAAATCAGTAAATCAATAAACATAAGTAACAGTGATGATAACAGAGTGTTCTTTATGAGCCTCAAATCCCACTAGCTTACCTTGATACATGTCCAGATAGAAATAGGAAAGGTAATAAGCACCAGGAGGAATGAAAAGGAAACCAGGATCCAGCCACAGACACCAATTCCTTTCTGCCTGTCAGCTATTAAAAAAAAAAAAAAAAAGAGCAATGAATGCAAATTTTGAAAAAAAAGATATCCAAGGGATGTAGATCTAGCCCAGAACAATCATGATGGACTGCAAAGTCCACAGAGACTCACTCTCTCTTCCTCACTCTCATCGCTCACTGAAAGCTGTAGAACACCCAGCCAAACATCCAACCTTATGGCCCTTCTGCTCAAAAGGTTAAAAGGTTCAGAAAGTACATTTTGCAACTGGAAAGGAAGTGGAAAGATAAAAGGCATTAACAAAGCTGGAGGCTGTGAGTGAGAAGTAAAACACTGGGTGGAGTACCAGTGGATATGAATCTCTGTTAGTGCGTCATGGATGGGGCAAAAAGATTTAGTTTGTATGAAACAGGTAATAAGGAAAATGAGGGGAACTGTTGTCATTAGATAAGTGTTAAAACAGTTCATCCAGTTCATCCACTGGACCAGAAGTTTCAAAATCAGTGCCTGTCAAAATGCACACCCATGCATTTTGAGCAGTTCTCACTGTGTTCAGCTCATCTCATCACAAAATTTCATTATAATGAAATCAAAATACATCAAAATAATTTAATTATTTTAGTGCCTGAAGGGAAGGCAGTGGTGAGTTGTTGTTCAAGTACTAAAAGTTTGGGAGGCTTTGTAAGGGAAATGTGATCAAGGAGCTGTTGCTCTTTGAAGAGCAGTTGGAACTGCTGAGATCCTCACAGAAGCAACTCGGAAGAGGGCAAGGAGTGAAACAGGCTAGTCCTGCCACCAGGACAGAGTGCTGCAAGGTCAGCTGATTCTGCTAAATACAGAAACGCCTTGGATCAGGAGTGTCATGAGAAAAGCAGAAGCATCAGGGATGCAGGCTGGGCTAGCCCCAAGGGCTGCCTGGCTGCCAGGTTTGGGGCAGAAGAGGGTTTTTGTGAGCATGAGCATTAGCAGATGGGAAGCTGAACACCACAGCCAGTTTCCCAGCACAAGGGTAAGAGGTAGGAAAGAGGGACACAGGCTCAGAGGTCTCCTCAGAGAACCTCCCCCATGCTGATGGAAAGATGCAGCATGTTTTGGATATGTTACTTCAAAGGTATAGGGTAGTGCTGGGAATTTCTGACATCAAATAAAATTCATATGCAGCTAGAAACTGATAAATAGAAAACAATTCATTTTATACTTTGTGAGAAAAACTTGTCACCACAGTGAAACAGCGTGAGGCAACCTGATCTGTAAGGCACAAGCTAACAGACCAGCAGAGCAGGACTGACGGGTTTGTCAGAAAACCCCCAGCAACTCCGCAGGAGGAGACACAACACAGCCCTCCTGCAGATCCTTCCTACCTCTTGGGTACCATAGCTGGACTGCACTTGCAAGCAATGTTAACTGCAAACACGGGGGTTTCAACCAAGCCCTTTGCTGCTTGCAGTTTTGCCCATTCTACTTCTGAGGTCCCTGCTGCAGATTTAATCACTCACACATAAATACATTTGCATCTGAAAGGGCCAAGTTTCAGGCCTCCCGGAGAGCTGGGCACAGAATTGCTGCACCAGGGGTCCACCTTTTCTCCTGATCCTTTCCAACAAACAGTAATTTGAAATGGCTGTTTCATGAGGTATATCAGTCATCCTGCAGTCAGTGGTAGGAATGATTTGAGGAGCTCCCCTGAGTAAATTGCCATGCAAACATTAAGGGTATGTGTATGAAGGCAGGACTTTCAAGATTTAATGTGAAAATCTTTAATGCTTTCACTGCTGCTTGTTTGCCACACAGTGTATTTCACGTTAAACAAGTGGTGTGTCAGGCTACAACAGGTATGTCAAGTACCAGCAACCAAACATATTTAATCAGTAGAAAGGGATCAAGGAAACTCATGGAATGGGCATCATTCACAATCCTTAATTCTGAAACTTGGGGAAATTAATAATGAAAGGATGTTTTGTTCAGCAAATTCAACGTTTTGCATGCTCTTCATTTCATCTAAATGATTAGCTTACAGAAAAATGTCTGAAACCTGGCTATGCCAAACCTGGCTATGAAGAACCTCCTCAAAAGCAATTGTGGACTGTAATGTCATCTGCCACCATCCACCTGAGACCACTATGAAGATGGCTTGTAGGAATGACGCAATTCACAGATGGGGGGAATGGCTGAGAACAAGTGGCCACACTCTGAAGATTGATATTTGAGCAGTTGAGAGGAGGTAAAGGGTCAAGATATCACTTATCACCGCTGTGGTCAAAAAGCACACAGCCCAACCTTGACAAAGTACAACTGAATTCTTCTGCATGAGAATTGTCCTAGAGATCCTGATGCCAGCTAAAAACATAGATTCCAATGAGAAAAGCAGGATATGAAAGTATGCTTTCTTAATAGTGAATCACAGCATTGTCTAGATTGGAAAAGACCTTGAAGATCATCCAGTCCAACCATTAACCTATCACTGACAGTTCCCAACTACACCAGATCCCTCAGCGCTATGTCGACCCAACTCTTAAACACCTCCAGGGATGGGGACTCCACCACCGCCCTGGGCAGCCCATTTCAACACCTAACAACCCCTTCTGGAAAGAAATGCTTCCTGATAGCCAGTCTAAACCTTCCCTGGTGCAACTTGAGGCCATTCCCTCTTGTCCTATCACTTGTTACTTGGTTAAAGAGACTCATCCTCAGCTCTCTGCAACCTCCTTTCAGGGAGCTGTAGAGGGCGATGAGGTCTCCCCTCAGCCTCCTCTTCTCCAGACTAAACACCCCCAGGTCCCTCAGCCGCTCCCCGTACGACCTGTGCTCCAGACCCTGCACCAGCTCCGTTGCCCTTCTCTGGACACGCTCGAGTCATTCAATGTCCTTTTTGTAGTGAGGGGCCCAAAACTGAACACAGGAATCGAGGGGCGGCCTCACCAGTGCCGAGTACAGGGGTCAGATCCCTTCCCTGTCCCTGCTGGCCACGCTATTGCTGACACAAGCCAGGATGCCATTGGCCTTCTTGGCCCCCTGGGCACACTGCTGGCTCCTGTTCAGCCGGCTGTCAATCAAACCCCCCAGGTCCCTCTCTGACTGGCAGCTCTCCAGCCACTCCTCCCCAAGCCTGTAGTGCTGCTGGGGGTTGTTGTGGCCCAAGGGCAGCCCCCAGCATTTGACCTTATGGAAACTCCTCCAGTTGGCCTCAGCCCATGGCTCCAGCCTGTCCAGGTCTCTCTGCAGAGCGTCCCTGCCCTCGAGCAGATCAACACTCCCACCCAGCTTGGGGTCATCTGCAAACTGACTGAGGGTGCACTCGATCCCCTCGTCTAGATCATCAATAAAGATGTTAAACAAGAGTGGTCCAAAAAAAAACACCACTCGTGAACGGCCGCCAGCTGAATTTAACTCCGTTCACCACAACTCTTTGGGCCCGGCCATCCAGACAGTTTTTTACCCATCAAAGCATGTGCCCATCCAAGCCACAAGCAGCCAGTTTTGTCAGGAGAATGCTGTGGGAAACGGTGTCAAAGACCTTGCTAAAGTCAAGGTAAACAACATCCACAGCCTTTCCCTCATCCAATAAGCAGGTCGCCCTATTCATAGAAGGAGATCAGATTTATCAGGCAGGATCTGACTTTTATCAACCCATGCTGACTAGACCTGATCCCCTGGTTGTCCATTATATGACTTTTAATGGCACCCGAGATGACCTGCTCCATGACCTTCCCTGGCACTGAGGTCAGACTGACAGGTCCATAGTTTCCTGGATCCTCCTTTCTGCCTTTCTTGTAGATGGGTGTCACAGTTTCCACCCTCCAGTCCAATGGGACCTCCCCAGTTAGCCATGACTTCAGGTAAATCATGGACAGCAGCTTGGCGAGCACATCTGCCAACTCCCTCAGCACCCTTGGGTGTAACCCAACCGGTCCCACAGACTTGTGTGCATCCAAGTGGTGCAGCAGGTCTCTGACCACCTCCTCTTCAACTGTGCTGACCTCAATCTGCGTCCCCTCCCCATCTCCCAGCTCATGAGCTGGGTGTCCAGGGAACAGCCAGTTCCACTGCTAAAGACTGAGGCAAAGGAGGTGCTGAGCACCTCAGCCTTTTCCTCATCCTTAGTTACCATGTTTCTCTCTGCATCCAGTAAAGGAGGGAGATTTTCCCTAATCCTCCTTTTGCTTTTAACGAATTTATAGAAACATTTTTTGTTATCCTTAACAGCTGTAGCCAAGCTGAGTTCTAGCTGTGCCTTGGCTCTCCTAATGTTCTCCCTGCATAGCTTCACTGCATCTTTATAGTCTTTGTGAGAGACCTGGTCCCTCTTCCAAAGGCAATAGATTCCCCTTTTGTTCTTGAGATCCAGCCAAAGGTCCCTGTTTAGCCAGGCCGGTCTCCTTCCCTGCCTGCTTGTTTTCCGGCACACGGGAACAGCCTGCTCCTGTGCCTTTAGGATTTCTCTCTTGAAGTATGTCCAGCCTTCCTGGACTCCCATTTCCTTCAAGGCAGCCTCCCAAGGGATTTTTAATCTGTCTTCTGAACAGGTCAGTTAGCCCTGTGGAAGTCTAAGGTGGCAGTTTTACTAACCCCTCTCTTTGTTCTCAAAGGATCAAAAATTTGATCATCTCACGGTCACTGCACCCTAGACGGCCTCCAACCTTTACCTCCCCCACAAGCTCTTCCCTGTTCACAAGCAGCAGGTCCAGGGGGGCACCTTCCCTGGTCGGCTCACTCACCAGCTGGGTGAGGAAGTTCTCCTCCACACATTCCAGGAACCTCCTGCATTGTTCCCTCTCTGCTGTGTTGTGTTCCCAGCAGATACCCAGGAGGTTAAAGTCCCCCACAAGAACAATGGCATCTGACTGCGAGATTTCTCCCAACTGTTAGTAGAAAGCTTCATCCACCTCACCGCTTTGGTTGGGGGGTTTATAGCAGACTCCCACAGCAAGATCTGCTTTATTGGCCCTTAACCTAATCCACACACTCTCAACCCCATTATCACTATACTTGATTTCTGAGCTGTCATAGCATTCTCTTACATATAGGGCCACTCCACCACCTCTCCTTCCCTGTCTGTCCCTCCTGAAGAGCTTGTAGCCATTGACTGCAGCACTCCAGCCGTGTGAGGCATCCCACCACGTTTCTGTGATAGCTACTATGTCATAGTTCTCATGCTGCATCATGGTCTCAAGCTCCCCCTGTTTGTTGCTCATACTGCCTGCACTGGTATAGATGCACTTGAGATGAGCTAGTGAATGCAACACCCTTTTGTGAGTGTGGGCCCCATTCCCCACCAGACCCTTCTCAGGTGCTTCCATGGTTCCTAAAGATCTTTCCCTTCTCTCAAATGAAGTGGCAGAGGGAGAGCCCTCACCAGTCCACCATCCTTCAAGCTTTGGCACGCTTCCCTTGTGCTTGTTCCTAACATGCCCAGTTATGTCCCCGTCCCCCCTCACATCTAGTTTAAAGCCCTGTCAATAACCCCTGCTAACTCCTGCCCCACAATCCTTTTCCCCCTCTGGGACAGCTGCATCCCACCTCTCTCATTTGTTGCCAGCAGATCAGGTGCCAGAATCCAGACCTATCTCCCCCAAAACCACCACAAATATTCTCTGATCACCCTGAAGTTTCAAACCATTTAACCACAAGACAAATGGAAGATTCTAGAAAAATGCAATAGTGAAGAATAAGGATCAGTCACAACACAGCATACCACTGACCTGAGTTTGCCATACCTGTACATGGATTACAATCATCAAACTACAAAAAAACCTCAATTGGGTCTACAGCCCAGAGCAAACCAAGAGTGGCAATGCACTGCAAAATGTGAGAGCTCACAAATCAGCAGTTCTGAAAAAAGCTCTAGGACACTCATAAGATTCACTGTGTTTTCTTGATACACACACCATGGTACATCATGAACACACTTAATACAGAAAATCATGATGTGGGTGTCAAACTTAAAAGTAAATTAAAAGCTCATGTCCAAGTTGTCTTGTGAAGAATATAAACAACTGCAGGCAAAAATCACCCATCTCCTACAGCAATAAAGAGGTGGAGTAGACTTAGTCTCTTATAACCACTAGGTACCCTCCTGCTTTCTACAAACACCCAAATCAATCTTGTCAAGATTCGTCCTTGTCCCACTGCACTATTCAGACACTCTGGCACTCATGGCCATACACAACAGTGGAAACAGCACACATTGCCAGTAACAACTTGATTTGGCATCAGTCCCCTTGCTTGAAGAGAGAACCAGGTGTTCATCACAAAAGTCCAAACAGATCAGCATCTTTTTGGGGCTGAAAAATTCTTCTGCCTTCCCTAACTTTTCCCTTTCCACCCCATCCCTACATACAGAAGTGTATCAATAGCTTAATCAGTCATTTCAGTCCCCAGGGCCATTTTGCCAGAAGGTAGATACTGACATGGTGGCAGGACAGTATGAGGCGATTTGTTCTGTCACTCACAGTGGCAGATTCTGAATTTTCATCTCCAGCCTATGTGGGAGACGTTATAAATGCCTGGGATGAAACGTACTTTGGTTAGTTTTGCTCCTTTTTATTGTTATTGAGAAAAAAAACCACACACACACACACACAAAACAAGGCTTACCGATTAGATGCTCTGTGTTGTTTTTCCTGGGTGACTCTCTCTGGGAATCCATTCCATTTGAGGGAAGCTCTGATCCCCTTACAGATGAGACAGCAGCACTTGAAACTGCACAGTTCTCATGCAAAGCACTGAAGAGAGGCAGGGTGAGAGAAGAAATCCCGCTTGTATGAGAGCCCTCTGGGAGTCAGTTACCCTGGTAAGGAGTGTATGATTACAAAAACAAAGCCTTGTGGTAAGGAGTGTATGATTACAAAAACAAAGCCTTGTGGATCAGGGTTGTCTGTGATGCAACTCTGTGGTCTTCTGTGGCTGTCTTCTGTCTGGGGAGGCACTTGGCCCAGGTGGTTTTACACCCCACAAAATCCACACTATAAATTATTTCTATGAATCAGTATTATCTGTCATCAGAGAGAAAACAAGAACAAGACAAGACAGAAAGAGAAGATAAAGAGAAAACAAGTCCTGTGAGAAGCAGCTGATAGAACTTGGGTTGTTTAGCCTGGAGAAAAAGCAGCTCTGGGGAGACCTTATCACTCTCTTACAACTACCTGAAAGGAGGTTGTAGCGAGGTGGGGGGTCGGTCTCTTCTCCCAGGTAACAAGCGTTAGGATGAGAGGATCTAAACCTCAGCCAGGTTTAGATTGGGTGTCATGAAAAGTTTTTTCACCAAAAAGATTATCAAGCACTGGAACAGGCTGCCAAGGCAGATAATTTAGTCACCATCCCTGGAAAGTACTTAAAAGATGTGTAGATGTGGCACTTAGGAACATGGTTTAGTGGTGGACTTGGCTGTGCTAGGTTAATGGTTGGACTCAATGATCTTAAGGTCTTTTCCAACCTAAATGATTTTATGATTCTACAAAGCCAGAGGGTACAGACTGAGTACTGCTTCTTCACTGTACACCTCTTACTATTACGGGGGCCAGCCACTGTCTAGAACTCAAACACTGGCAACATAAATAATCCTCCAGGTGAGGTCCTTGTGCTGTGTAGAATAGTTCATCACACACTTCTTGATACTGCCCATCACTATAGGTAGAACTCTGTTGTGCTAATATCAAAAAAAAAACATTGTAGAAGCATTTCAGCTCCAAAGACTTAAAAATTTTCCAAAAATATTTTTCACAAAATACTTTTTGACAGTCAAACCAAGGATAGCATTTCAGAACAAGCCATTTCTGAAGGCTGCAGCAGCAGAGAGCAGCCTTCTCAAACGACAAAAATCTCTTGCTCGTTATTTGAGAAAAAATGAGGTGGCTTTTCATATGTAATTTATGAGTTTGACATACAGCTGCATTGATTATATGGCTGTTTTCTGTGGGCAGCCATCAAGAGTATCTTTGAAGATCCGACTCCAGCTTCATTTCACTTGTCTTCATCCCTGCCAGCAACTGTATTGGCCCCAGATGGGTCATTCAAAGCTGACTGCTCTCCAGAGAATCCTTTTTCAGCTTCACAGAGAGGAAACTACACCATTGAAAGGGTGTTTTAAATCACAGTGAAAACTATAAGCACAAACAGCTTGCAACACTAGGACTGACATGCTTATTGCAATACCCTCCCAAATATGTGACAATATCCATCTGAAGTAATTTGTAGCATTTTCCTCTGCTGAGCTGTGAGATCAAACCTGTTCAAGACAGATGCCTACTAGAAGGGCAGCAAAGGTGAACAGTCAGAAGAAAAATGTGCCTAAATTATTTCAGAAGCAAAAGCATAATATGCAAAACTACTCCAACATTTTTTTTATTTTAGATCAACTCAATTTTACTGAAAATAACTTCATTCCAAACCATTTCAATGCCACAATCTACACAGCTGCTTACACCACCACACAGATGAGCAAAACACATTAAAATCTAACAGAAATAATTGCTCCCCGTTGTTTATTGTTAATTCCCTGAGGAGCCTGTAAATATATCCCTTGAAAGGTGACTAAAGCAGATGGTGTTTTTATGTTCAGGAACATCCCTGTATTAGTTTCTCTGTGTTAACTTCAGCTGCACTTTTATTCCCCACATCAAATATGTGAAAGGCAGGGCAATCTTAATCCTTTCTCCCTGGGGCTATAGCAGTGCGTGTGGATAACTCATGTCCCAGTGTGCTATAAAACACTCAGAGAGCAAAATACATGAGCACTCTAGGGCTAAACAGAGACTTAATCCTACAGACCAAGCACCCACTTCAAAGTTTGTTAAAACCAGTTTACATACAGCCATTTCTAAACAGTGCCAATCCCAAAGGTATCAAAAAAAGCCATCAGGCAGTCTTCACGTGACATTTGTACATAACAAAGCTGTAGGTTTCAGGTTTTTTCTGACCTGTAATACTTTCCTTCCCATGCACTGGGCTTTGGCCACTCCTTAAAGTGGAATCTAGTCCTTTCCTGAACCTGAATTCTGCCTAGACACTAGCCTATTTGCTTCAGGCTTGTCATTCCTTTCCCCCAGATTAAAATTTATAAGGGACAGGACACAGAGAAGATTAACAGCACCATCCTACTGCTTGTAGGTACATCCCCATATTGCTCCTTCTCCTTGTGAAATCGTCATCAGCTTTCAAAAGCTGAAGATGGGGAGATGACAGGAGGCACCCCTTTGGCTACACTTTGCTAGAGCATGATTAAATATGACAGACGGTCAATCAAAAGGATTGCTCCCATCTCAATCGAAAAAGGAAGGCAATATGCAAGAAAGAACATTCACACTATGGCAAGTTTCCTTCCAGGCTCAGCCAAAATCAAAATATTCACTTGCAAATGAGAGGAAGAGTAGGACAGAAAATTGCTCTGTTTCTCTCATATTAACTACAGCTGCAATCAAAGCACTTGAAATAAATATTGAAACTTGTATTTGCAAACACAATCCCAATACATTCTTTGTTGTTCCAAATAAAGACTTTATTTCAAAGAACATTTCACTACACCTCACCTCCGCAGTCTGTCAATGCAGTGGAAGTATAGCAGTTAATAGGCAATTTGAAAAATGAAAAAAAATCAGTTAGTCCAGAATTAAAGTCATACAGCAACAACCCTTTCCCAGCCCAGGCTCAGTGTAAGATCCGGCATGGTTTGTCTCAGGAGCAGAATTTTCTCTGGCTTTTCAAAAATGGTGCTCAAGTAAGCATGAAAGAGCTCAGAACAAATCAGCCCCCTCAGAAATTCCAAGGCTGGGTCACAGGAGTTTGCTGCAATGCAGAACACAGACTTTATTCCTGAAGAGAAAAAAATTAATAAAAAATAATTTTACATCAGGAGAAATATTTAAGAAATTGAAACTTACCTTAATCCTAACTACTAGAAAGTTCAATTTACAAAATCCTGCTCAATATGATTCCGTCAAAAACAGAAAGCCCATTCTAGACAAAAAACCTTGACAGTTTAATGCTTCTTAGGCTACTTTCACAGTTCACTGATTATGAGCTTCTGTCTAACACTACACCAGCTGTGCGTGAAATACTCTTCTGCATAGTGGCTAGACACCACTTAGCAAGTACACTGTTTCTCCTTCTCCAACTGATCTACAAAGCTACAAAGAACAAGTCATGAAAAGAATGAGAAGGAAAGTATAATGGAAGATGGTAAAGTTTTCTTCCACAGATTTCTTAAGTCAAGATATAAGGCACTGATTTTAAAAGCAGTTCAGAGTGGAAAATCACTGGAATTCAACGCATTTCACAAAATAAAAAAATGTGAAAGTGCAATATGTTTTTATCTTTAGTTTAAAGTAATATGTAAATTTGGTTATTAAAATGCAAGACTACCCAATTGCTGACAAAGTATCAAGGACACTAAATTTTTTATCTAAACACTTCATAGAGTATTTCTATTGCGACTCTTTAGGAAACCAATTTTATAATTCAGTATATGATTCTGCATCATAAAGAGACAGCATAAGCAAGATCAAACATTAGGAAGTGTCTTAGTAAAATCAGGTTTATTCATCTCTATTTTAGACAAATATGTAAATAGTCAGCAAAGACTTTCTGCTATGACTGTAAACTTTTTATTTAAAAAAATTGTGTTAAAAAGCAATACAGGAATTTCCATTAATGTTCTAAAAAAGTTTGTTCACATCTTGAAAGAAAATACATTAGCAACATCTCCCAGCAGAATTAATCTTTAAAAAAGTAAAACTCTAGCTGCAGAGCTTTTCTACAGTATAGTATTCTCTACATTTTAATTTAATCACAGGATTGAATATCATTTATCTCTATTTTTTCTAGATCACGATCAAGAGTTTATCTTAAATAGATGATATTCAATGATGTGTTACACATTGCCACAGGTACTAACATTATTAGAAGAGTGCACAACTGAATTTCACTAACAAAGCAAGACCTTTTCATATGCTGCGTCATAACCCTTCCTAACCACTATAGTTAATTTAGCTATATGCCTTTAAAATCATGTACGTTTTCCAAGGAAAAATACTAAAAATTCCATGGTCCAAATTCTGCTCCCACTTATATTCACAGGATAACATAAGCACCATCAAGTTGTGGTTTACAGCTGAAAAGCACATAGAGAACCAGTGAATTGATGAGTATAAGGGAGAGAAGAACTTGACCCATGTCTGTAAACATTCACAAAAGTCTGCAGTTGAAAGTGCCGGATAGGCAGCCTATCCGCAGTACAATTATTTCATTCACAGAGAGGTGTGGGGGCAGGGAGAACGTTATGGAACATTATTTTAGAGGCAAATTAAAAAGCTTTTATGTACTTTGGAAAGACATATTCTCAGCTAGCTAAACCATACTCCAATAAAACATAATTCACTTCTAGTCAAATACAGTACAGCATCATTTCCTAGCTCTCCTGTTCAGATTCAGACAAGGGAGTACTCAATTCAGCAGCAAGCCCATGACAATATTTCAAAACATAAGAAACCCCCCACACCCCTCTGATCTAGCCTCCCCTTAACATACTGCTGATGCTAACAGGAGATACTCACACATACGAAGAAAGGATCCAAAGAACCATAAACTGACCTTTATCCATGCACACACAAGAAGTGTGCATCTAGACAAAAGATCGTCTACAGCTTTAAGTATCATTTCAGTCTAGATCTC